TTACTGGAAAGGTGTGCCAACTGTTGGCTGTATTTCATCTAAATGTTGCTCTATTTTATGTGGAATTATTGTGATAGTGTATACATATAGTTTTCAGCTTTGAATGCTAGCTGCAAAAATGACATCACTGTTTTTTCTCATAGTAGAGCCAAACTTAATAAGACTATTTAACTATGTAGGCTACTGAGTTTTTCAGTAACTATCAAAATCCCTTACTTTTACAATGGACAGTTCCATAGTCAGAGCAGGACATGGCCACTTTGCAAATTTAGGGAGTGAAGGATAAGCTTTATTTTTGGTAATTTTATGATTAACATGTGTAAATTAGAAGCATGTACATAGGAGCCTGTACATTTCATATCTGTAAGGGTATGTTGAAAGAGATCATATACATGTGTATGATCTGTAAAAGAATTTTATCATTTCCCTTTACACTGCATGACATCAATTGATTACACACATGCAAACAGTACAGACCAAGATTGGGTGAAGGCGACAAAGCCATTTCATTCATTTCATGTACATATTTTGAAATTTTCAAAAAGATAATAAATGGTTTTGTCAGGAACTGAAAGATTTTAAGACATTTAATTGTTAAAAGTGTTAGGTCAAGGTAGAATACTTGATGTGGAACATGTATATATAATGAATAAAACCATTTAACCTGCATAATTTATCAAGAAAGTTATATTTTAATGTAAAAAAACAACAACCGAAGAACAAAACACATAGGTGTTTTCAAAAACCAATTTATTGTGTTAGCATTATTTACCAGTAAGTGATGGTGATGATGGTTTTAAGCATTTTAGATATCAGCATTTTAGAAATTTCCATAATTCAGTGAATAAATTAAAATGACAATAATAACTTTGGACGATTTGTATACTAAGGGGAATTATAAAGGATAGATACGGTAGGTAGTTTTATAATTCCTTAGTCTATTTATTCACTGACATAAGTAAAACAAGCTAGGATAAAAAATATAACCTCTGTTTCAACATAATTTCTTACTCTATGTTTTTTTTTACTTCTGGGTGAAACAAGGTAATTATTATGATGTAGAGTAAACCCATTTATGTCATGTTCAGATGAGAATGGATTTGTTGATGCAGTGAAATACTTCCATTGTGTTTTTTTCCCCCTATTGTTTTGTCTAGTAGCTAAAGTAGATACCATGAATTTACTACTGTTTATCTAATGGTATATCAATCTCAAAGGAATTGCTTCTTAACAGCATCATTCTGTTTATTGGATTTAAAGGTGGTAATTATATTAACATCAAATTATTTACTTAGATATTAATATTTTGGTTAAGGAGAGTGCAGTTGTGTTCACATTGAATTTCTTTGGTTGAAACTACATATATATGTAGATTTTAAACAATGAATTATATTATCATATTATGGTATACAATGTATATTAGTGTGGGTTTTTTTCAGTGATATATTTTGTTTTAAATGAAAAACTCAAACTATTTAAATGGCTGACAGGAATTAAAAAGATTGATGGTTGAACTGTTTAGTTTGGCTAAGTTTCAACTGGGTAAATTAATCCTAAATATAAAAAAAATCTGTTATCAATTATAAATGACCTTGATGTTGTTGTGACGACTCCCTTTTAGTTAAATTGCTTAAAAAAGAATAAGTGTTTTCTAAATTATGCATATTAAACCACATGTTTTTTTTCTAATATTCGAAATTTATGTATACATTTACACAGTACTCTATCAAAGCTGGGGTGGAAATATTAAACCTTTTCAATTTGATAAAGTATAGTATAACAGGATACATAGTTTAGAAATACCTGAATGAGTAAGTGTTTTGATATTGATTAACCTCTTACAATGGCTGCTGCTGTATTGTTTGATGTATAACTATAAAAATTGTCTTTTATTTTTGATCATTTCATTGTTACTTAAGTAGCTCAAGGGATTAAAAGACCAGTACCAATGAATCAATAGAACAGGTCAGGCTGCACCCTGACCTAGCCATATGTGCATGGTCTTGGCCTATGTGCATGCTGGCCTGGGCCTATGTGCACCCTAGCCTGGCCTTATGTGAACCCTGGCCTAGCCCTATGTTCATGCTGGTCTATGCCTATGTACATGCTGGCCTGGGCCTATGTGCATGCTGGTCTGGGTCTATGTGCATGCTGGCCTGGGTCTATGTACATGCTGGTCTGGGTCTATGTGCATGCTAGCCTGGGTCTATGTACATGCTGGTCTAGGTCTATGTACATGCTGGTCTAGGTCTATGTACATGCTGGCCTGGGTCTATGTACATGCTGGCCTGGGTCTATGTGCATGCTGGCCTGGGTCTATGTACATGCTGGCCTGGGTCTATGTGCATGCTGGCCTGGGTCTATGTACATGCTGGTCTAGGTCTATGTACATGCTGGTCTAGGTCTATGTACATGCTGGCCTGGGTCTATGTACATGCTGGTCTAGGTCTATGTGCATGCTGGCCTGGGTCTATGTGCATGCTGGCCTGGGTCTATGTACATGCTGGCCTGGGTTTATGTACATGCTGGTCTAGGTCTATGTACATGCTGGCCTGGGTCTATGTACATGCTGGTCTAGGTCTATGTACATGCTGGCCTGTGTCTATGTACATGCTGGCCTGGGTCTATGTACATGCTGGCCTGGGTCTATGTGAATGCTGGCCTGGGTCTATGTGCATGCTGGCCTGGGTCTATGTGCATGCTGGCCTGGGTCTATGTACATGCTGGTCTAGGTCTATGTACATGCTGGCCTGGGTCTATGTACATGCTGGCCTGGGTCTATGTACATGCTGGCCTGGGTCTATGTGCATGCTGGCCTGGGCCTATGTACATGCTGGCCTGGGTCTATGTGCATGCTGGCCTGGGTCTATGTACATGCTGGTCTAGGTCTATGTGCATGCTGGCCTGGGTCTATGTACATGCTGGCCTGGGTCTATGTGCATGCTGGCCTGGGTCTATGTGCATGCTGGCCTGGGTCTATGTGCATGCTGGCCTGGACCCTATGTTCATGCTGGTCTAGGCCTATGTGCATGCTGGCCTGGGTCTATGTACATGCTGGCCTGGGTCTATGTGCATGCTGGCCTGGGCCTATGTTACATGCTGGCCTGGGTCTATGTTTCATGCTGGCCTGGGTCTATGTACATGCTGGTCTAGGTCTATGTACATGCTGGCCTGGGTCTATGTACATGCTGGTCTAGGTCTATGTGCATGCTGGCCTGTGTCTATGTACATGCTGGCCTGGGTCTAATGTGCATGCTGGCCTGGGTCTATGTACATGCTGGCCTGGGTCTATGTGCATGCTGGCCTGGAACCTATGTTCATGCTGGTCTAGGCCTATGTACATGCTGGTCTGGGTCTATGTGCATGCTGGCCTGGGTCTATGTGCATGCTGGCCTGGGTCTATGTACATGCTGGTCTAGGTCTATGTGGGCATGCTGGCCTGGGTCTATGTACATGCTGGTCTAGGTCTATGTACATGCTGGTCTAGGTCTATGTACATGCTGGCCTGGGTCTATGTACATGCTGGCCTGGGTCTATGTGCATGCTGGCCTGGGTCTATGTACATGCTGGCCTGGGTCTATGTGCATGCTGGCCTGGGTCTATGTGCATGCTGGCCTGGGTCTATGTACATGCTGGTCTAGGTCTATGTACATGCTGGTCTAGGTCTATGTACATGCTGGCCTGGGTCTATGTGCATGCTGGTCTAGGTCTATGTACATGCTGGCCTGGGTCTATGTTCATGCTGGTCTAGGTCTATGTGCATGCTGGCCTGGGTCTATGTGCATGCTGGCCTGGGTCTATGTACATGCTGGTCTGGGTCTATGTGCATGCTGGCCTGGGTCTATGTACATGCTGGCCTGGGTCTATGTTCATGCTGGTCTAGGCCTATGTGCATGCTGGCCTGGACCCTATGTGTATGCTAGCCAGGCTGATTATTGTTGTATAGGCTGTTTATTAGTGTGATCGTCATTTGTAATTTTAAAAATATATAAAAGCCTATTTTCTCTGATGTTTCCTTTGCACTGCAAAAGCTATTATTACTGGGATATTTTAAAATTAACATTCTTGAAGAACAAAGCCATACCTTAAAGGTCAAGGTCACACCTAAATGTTTAGCATCAAAAATAAGCCTGAATCATTCCTAGTATCATGCTTCAGAACCATGTAACACATATTTCAGGTATTGTTCTAGAACTGATTGTCAGGACAAGAGGACAGTATTATAGGGGGTTTTGAAATAATTTGGCATGGTGGTTTGTGTGTCAGGGACAAGGTGTGTTTCATTAAGATAACATAAGTAGTTTCAAGGCTGTTGAACTGAAACAATATGTCCTGACAGTAACTCTATCATTTGATAGGGGATTTTAAAATAACTGGGCAAAAAGTTTATCTATCAAGATGAGACAATGACAAAGAAATTTTACAATTTTGAATCCTTTTCTCCTTTTAAAATCTGGTAGGTTTAATATATTGCCTGTTTGTACCATGTAGTTATAAGCTTGTAACTCTATAGTAGCTACTTTTATTTGCTAATTGCATGTTTCTTTTTGATTATGAAACAGGGAAGTTAAAATTTGTCAAATGGTTAAGTTGAAATGTTTATTTAAAAGAAAAAAATACGATCAATTGAAAAATAGAGAAACTTCCTGCTTGATATTCTTTCCACCTGTAGGATATATGTAGAGTTAGAAATACATTACAGGATTATTATTTGTTTATATTGTGAACCATTGTGTGAGCATATGTATTATATGGCTTAAATTTTAAAAAGGGTATGTTTGTTTGTATAGGATTTTTCTTGCTTTTTTAGTGAAATCTACAAAAAGGAGTATCTTAAACTTTTTTCTCCTTAATATGTAGGCATTAGAAGGGAAGATCTGCCTATACAAGCAGTAGTACAATATCTAAACTTGAAGTACAGTTAGTTGGTCTAAATTCTTAATGTACATTGTACTTGCTTTTAGCTTATAAATGCTTTTTTCACTTAATTGTTATTTCAGTAGACTGTTCAAGAGGTGAGGATCAACTAGGAGCCCAGTATGGGGAATCTCCTCAAGTTATTATCCAGAGACGAAAACAAAAGAGCTGATGATCTCAATTATGTATTTGTTGATTTTGAAAGTGAGTGAAATTTTATGTTGACATTTGTATTTGTACACCCTATTTATGCTATTCAGGTTAGGAAAGAAAATTTTTCAATGAAGGCTCTAAAATTATGATATCTTTGAAGTGCTTAGGAGCCATCTGCAATAATGATAGACTATGTGATCACTACAGACATTTGTGCAGACACTATGTGATCACTATAGACATCTGTGTAAACACTATGTGATCACTATAGTCATCTGTGTAAACACTATGTGATCACTATAGACATCTATGCAACACCATGTGATCACTACAGACATCTATGCAAACACTATGTGATCACTATAGACATATATTTAAACACTATGTGATCACTATATACATCTGTGTAAACACTTTGTGATCACTATAGACATCTGTGTAAACACTATGTGATTACTATAGACAACTGTGTAAACACTATGTGATCACTATAGACAACTGTGTAAACTACAGACATCTGTGCAAACACCATGTGATCACTACAGACATCTGTGTAAACACTATGTGATCACTATAGACATCTGTGTAAACACTTTGTGATCACTAAAGACATCTGTGTAAACACTATGTGATCACTATAGACAACTGTGTGATCACTATAGACATCTGTGTAAACTTTATGTGATCACTAAAGACATATGTGTGATCACTTAAGACATCTGTGTTATCACTATGTGATCACTAAAGACATCTGTGTAAACACTATGTGATCACAGCAGACATTTGTGTAAACACTATGTGATCACAGCAGACATTTATGTGAAACACTATGTGATCCTATTATACATCTATGTAAACATTATGTGATCCCTTTCAGACATCTGTGTAAACACTATGTGATTACTACAGACATCTGTACAGACACTATGTGATCACTATAGACATCTGTATAAACACTATGTGATCACTATAGACAACTGTGTAAACACTGTGATATGTATAGACATTTTGTGCAGACTGGACTGACACTGTACTACAGGCTGCTAGAATGTTAATACATGTGTATTTTGCTACTGAAATCCCTGATTATGATTGTGGACATGTGAAACAGCTAATACAAATAACAACAATCTTCGCCTTTGACAAATAGTTTCTATTAGCATTTTTTGTCCAAAAAAATAAGCTTAAAGACATAATATTTTATGATTATTATGATTCGATATTGACTGTTAAACCTGTCAACAATAACTCTAATGTAATGGAATGATATCCTAATGTTTCTGTAGATTGTAAACCAACTGACTTAGAATCAGAGGTTTGGGAGAAAATCCAGGCTGTTCTAAAGGAAGCGGAGAATATTTTGGCAGGGCTACGACAGTATACGGGAGCTGCAGGTGTTATCAGAGATGTAAGTCTTACAATATAAATTAATGATATACTATGCTCATCTTTTGGTAAAATACTTTTGCAGAAGTTTATTGAAATCTAGAAAGTTCTTCCTGAATATGTCTAATTTGAATATGTGTAAACTTTGTTTTGCATTCCCTATTATTGTTAAATTAATTTGGTCATTATAAAACTGCCAGTTTTTTCTATTTGTGCCCCCATTTTAGTGGCATTTAGATTTACCCTTGTCCGTCCGTCCGTCCATCCGTCAGTTCGTCCGTCCGTTCTCTTTTGTGTCGAACGTAACTCAAAAAGGATTTGACCTAGAGTTATGAAACTTAATAGGAATGTTGATCAGCAAGTGTAGTTGTGCACCTGGTATTTTCATGTGGATTTATTTAGTATTTTTAGAGTTATTGCCCTTGACTTAGTAAAATTTTGCAATTTTCAACTTGTGTCGCATGTTACTCAAAAAATATTTGACCTAGAGTCATGAAACTTTACAGGAATGTTGATCAGCATGTGTAGTTGTGCACCTGGGTATTTTCGTGTGGATTTATTTAGTATTTTTAGAGTTATTGCCCTTGACTTAGTAAGATTTTGCAATTTTCAACTTGTGTCGCATGTAACTAAAAAGGATTTGACCTAGAGTCATGAAACTTTACAGGAATGTTGATCAGCATGTGTAGTTGTGCACCTGGGTATTTTCGTGTGGATTTATTTAGTATTTTTAGAGTTATTGTCCTTGACTTAATAAAATTTTGCAATTTTCAACTTGTGTCGCATGTAACTCAAAAAGTATTTGACCTAAAGTCATGAAACTTAATAGGAATGTTGATCAGCATGTGTTGTTGTGCACCTGGGTATTTTTGTGTGGATTTATTTAGTATTTTTAGAGTGATTGCCCTTGACTTAGAATTTTTTTGCAATTTTCCACTTTTGTCGCATGTAACTCAAAAAGGATTTGATATAGAGTCTTTAAACCTTACGGTAAGGTTGCTCAGCATATGTAGTTGTGCACCTGTGTTTCGCTTGTTGATTTATCCAGTATTTGAAGAGTTACTTCCCTTGACTTAGTAAAAACCTTTTCATTATGTTGTTATTTGTTCCTTGAGTGCTTGAGTTAGAATCAACCAACTTTACAGGAATAATGATCAACATTACTAAATTACAGGAACATCACTGTGAAGCTATGCACCTGGGACTTTGCATGTGGATTTTTTTCAGTTTTGTTAGAGTTATTGCCCTTGACTTACAGTAGTATAAATTTGCAATTTCAACTTGTTCATGCATAGCTCAAAAAGTATTTCACTTGTAGGTTTGAAAGTTTACAAGAATGTTGGTCAGCATGTGTACTTATGCACCTTGGGGTTTGCTTGTGGATTTATTCAGTAGTTCTTGTCCTTTATTTAGTAAAAGATTTTTAGTTTTTAAAAAATATTTGACCTAGAGTCATAAGATTGACAGAACAGTGGTGCGGTGGGGGCACCCGTGTCCTATGGACACATTTCTAGTGACACTTTGTAATCATACTGTGATTACCTGTAGTGTGTAGAGTTTAGATCATATCATATTTGCTCTGTGTGTTTTCAAAAGATGTTTACATTTCAAAAGAGACTGTATAGTAATTATTAGTTTTTTCCAATATCAAATTTGAGCATAATATATCTTTAAAGAATCTGAGATTCTTTCTAAGATTTCTAATAGATATACAATGTAGTTGAATCGTTTTCTTTTTACATACTGGTAATCATAGAATCTTACATTAATAACTTCAATCAGGAAGAATTTAAGGAACTATACAACATTCTATGGATGACAATATATTATTTATATATATTTCATTTAGCCTTGTAATTGGCCAGAATATTCTAGTTATTCAGTATCAGTTGTCCAATGATGTAATAAAATGATAAAAAAAAATGAAAATACATAAAGAAAATATTTTTCTTTGCAGAGTTAAAACTTGAAAACTTGTTAATTTCAGGCCATACAGAATCCATCTAATGAAGGGTTGCAAGAAAAAGCTTGGAATGATGTAATTCCACTTGTAGAACAGTTACGCAAATATTATGAATTTTCCTTATTGTTAGGTAAGATGATTTTAATGTAGGTATATTAAATCAATACTTCTGTGCAAAGCTTTTACTCTTCCAATTAAAAAGTGGGAGCATACTGTGATGTGGTTGGTCTGTTCGTACTTACTTTACCTCTTCATTTTCTGATCAATAACTTTCAAATGCTTTGGCCTACAGCCTAAAGATATGGTGTGGAGGTTGGACATGACCAGAAGATGACCCCTATCAGGCATCAAAAAGTATTTTCAGAGTCACTTGTCCTGTAGGACGATTTAGGAGGGAACGAGTATCTTCAAAATCAAATTGTAGGCAACATATTTCTAATAGTCCTGCATCAAGTTCTCTTAAATTCTGCTCATAATTACCAGCAGACAAGTGAAATTTTGAATCTCTGGCTATTTATTTTGAGGTTATAAGGTCAACAAAGTTCATGGTCTTCATTGTCTTGACTCGGCCAATTATAAAAGTAACAATTTATTCTTTTCTGAAGCATAATGCTCCTTTAATATTGAAAGAAAGAATATTGGTTTAGTTATACATTTTGTAAATTTATAAATTAATATTTCAGAAAAAAATGTTCCATTGTTACTACAAGCGTTATGTTCAGCTGATATGACATCGAGGGAACATTTAGAGAAACAACAGGCTTTATTTAAACAGTTTGCACAGGTTCTAGACTTCGTTCTCAAATTTGACGATCTCAAAGTAAGTGGAGAGGAAAAGCTCCTCTTTTGTAATGTTTAGATGAGAAAAGCTAGCATTATAGATATATTTATACCAGTATGTAGTATAATGTACTCATTTGCCACAACCTGCACTAGATTTTGGACAATACAACATGTATGTAAGCAACTTTATGTTGGTTGCCAACTACATGTACTTATTGCAAATTGCCCATACAAATAAATTTACGGCTCAAATTATAAATCTTTTATTTATTTTTCTTACAAAAAACAAACATATTTGTAACATTACTTTTGTGCAAATGTTTTCCTATAGTATACACATTACAAAAATGTTCTCTCTAATTAATCTTTTATTTAAGAAATATTTGGATATTTTTACTTCTGCGACTACTTATGTACACTGAAGAATCTTTTCTTCCCAATCAAATCTTTTATTCGGTATCTTTATTTATCAAGTATAAATCCTGCAGAATATTTTTGTCTTACTTTCGTCTAAGAACTAATAATTTGTTAATATTCTTTGCTATTTTGTTTCCTTGATACTTTTAATTTTCACTGCTGATATTTTTATCTCAATTTTTGTTTGCCATGATTCTTGTCTACTGTAACTGATCATTTTTGTATCATCATGTAAGTTTGTAAGTTATCTTGTAGATTTTTTTCTGTATGGTGATGGTAGAACATTATCTCTGTAAATAGACCTCTTGCTGTCCCCTGCAGATGCTAATTTTTCTTTATACCCTTGTGGCTGTTGGACATTATCCACATATCTAGGCTTTTTGCTCTCCCCCGCAGGTCGTAAGTTTTCTTTATACCCTTGTGGCTGTTGGACATTATCCACATATCTAGGCTTTTTGCTCTCCCCCGCAGGTCGTAAGTTTACTTTATATACTTGTGGTTGTTGGACATTATCCACATATCTAGGCTTTTTGCTCTCCCCCACAGGTTGTAAGTTTCCTTTATATACTTGTGGTTGTTGGACATTATCCACATATCTAGGCCTCTGTCTGTTTTCAGCAGGTTTTAAGTTTTCTTTAAAAGGTACGCTAGGTTGAACATTACCTGTGTATGGAAACTTCTGTCTATCTTTTGCATTTGGTATATTTCCTTTATAGCCTTGTTTGGGTTGATTCACTTTATTTCTATACTCTTGGTTTGGTTTAACATTATTACTTTTCTGACCAAGGCCCTTGTAAGGTTGTTGTAGTTGATCTTTAAACCCAAATTGATTTTTTCTTACCACAGGTTGCTGTTGGTTATCTCTGGATGGAATCATTTGGCTATTTTGTCTGTAGCCTTGATTACTTTTGCCCTCTTCAGGGTTATTTGGAGACATCATTGGTTGTTTGTTAGCATTTAGACGTTGATATTTATCCATGTATTGACCTTTTTGTGGAGGATTTATTTGTGGACTATAATATATTGGTTTAGTATTATTTATGTAATCCTTCATCAGTTGTTTTCTCAGGGTTTTGTTTTGGGGAGTTCCTTTTCCTCCGCTAGTTAAAACAGATATAACTGCATTTGCAAGTGCAAGGGAAAGATTTTTTTTCAGTATTTCTTTTGAAATATTTCCGACAGTAGATTGAGAGAGCTGATTTGTCTGGTTAAATTTTCTAACAACTGTTGTATTTGATTGGCTAATGTTCATGCGATCTAAAATTTCTCGCACAATCTTTATAACGGTATTGAATGTAATTTTCGGACGTGGAGATGTCCGGTTTGTTAATCTTTTTACTGGTTGTTCACTGACCCTAGAAGATGATTTGTTTTCTGATTTATTTTGTTGATCTTTTACACCATTCTCAATTATATTGGACTCTTTATCATCTTTTATATTGGACTCTTTATCATCTTTATTATCTGCATTCTCCCGGGCAACGTCATCAAACCAGTTTATTTTCATTTCAGGTAAAGTATATGGACTTTCATACTCTTTCTGTTTGTTGCGTTTGTTTGATTCTGTGTTGGAGATTCTGTCCCATAAATTTCTTGAAACTGTTTTATCAAATGCCTTGTTAGATTGATGAAGCCTTGCATTACCCCAAAACTTTGATTTAGTTTTCTCTTTAGGAATTCCACTCAACTGATCACTGAAGTAGGCAACTGCAACTACTAGTGCAATCAAGAAAAGAACCACCTTTATCTGAAAACGAAAAAATTAAATGAATTTCATGAATTTTCTTTAATGGTTGGAACACATACCAAAAAGTTAATTAATTTTAAGATTTCTTACTTTGGAAGTTGTATGTGTAGTACATGGTCTGCACAGTTGTCATTAGTATTAATGTATATTTGAATAAACTAGTTATTATGCTGGGTTGTCAGTCCGTCCGTACGTACGTCCCGAATTTGGTTTCCAATCAATAACTAAAGAACGCTTAGGCCTAGGAACTTCAAACTTGGTATGGTGATTAGTCATGACCAGCAGATGACCCCTATTGATTTTGGGGTCAAGGGGTCAAAGGTCACATTGACCTTGTAGGTAAAAACGGTTTCCGATCAATAACTAAAGAACGCTTAGGCCTAGGAACTTGGTATGGTGATTGGTCATGACCAGCAGATGACCCCTATTGATTTTAGGGTCAAGGGGTCAACGGTCAAGGTCACATTGACCTTGTAGGTAAAAACGGATTCGGATCAATAACTAAAGAACGCTTAGGCCTAGGAACTTCAAACTTGGTATGGTGATTGGTTATTGGAGCATATAGTTGTCGGGTTATCCGTCCGTCCGTCAGTCCTTCCTTCCGTCAGTCTGAGCAAACATTTGATATTTATGAGCTTCATTCCGTAGTTAAATAAAGAACAAAAACTCATAAAATTCAAATTAAGAGCTATTTTTTTGTTTTTATGAGCTAATTTTGCTTATGGACGTTGGTCCAGGTGTAGTTTATGAGCTGATTTGCCTCATAAATATCAAAAGTTGGTATGTCCGTACGTCCCGAATTCGTGTCCGGCCCATAACTTTGTTATTTGAAGTCGGATTTTAAAACTATTTCACAGAAATGATCACCATATTTAGACGACGTGTCGCTCGCAACATTTAGGTCGTTACCTTGAAGGTCAAGGTCACAGCATGACCTTGCAGCAAAATCAAGTCCGGCCCATAACTTCATTATTTGAAGTCGGTTTTAACATTTATTTCACAGTAATGATCACCATATTGAGACGACATGTCGCGCGCAACATTTGGGTCGCTATCTTGAAGGTCAAGGTCACATCATGACCTTGCAGCAAAATCGTGTCGGGCCCATAACTTCGTTATTTGAAGTAGGATTTTACAACTATTTCACAGAAATGATCACCATATTGAGAGAATGTGTCGAGCGCAACATTTGGGTTGTATTTACACTTTGAACTTTGTCTGTGACATAACTCTGACACTACAAGAGGTATACCTTCCTGTGTCCAAAACCTATTCGGGGAGCATCATCCGGTTCAACCAGCTCTTGTTATGCATCTAACGTAGGAATACATTTTGATTTTCCTGTTAATAACAAGTGCTATGTCCTAACAGAAGTCACCAAATTAAGTTAAAAAATCTTTGAATATTGTGTTTTCCTCTGTAGTAGTTTAAAGTATTGCTGTGTTGAAAATGTTCAATGATATTGTCCTGCTTTTGAAATTTTGAATTTTTTGTGGTTCCTTGTCCTTGTTTAATGAATTTTAGTATCAAGTATAAACCAAGCAGCCGAACATATAATGTGTAGTCAGACTGTACCAATACTTTTTTCTTTGGGATAAAAAAATCAAAGCAATTAACCATTTCCTTTACACAATATAGTTGTTAAGAAAATGTGAAATCTTTTTAAAGCTGCATGTCTCCAGGTGAGCCAGCATATTTCAAGAAAATCTAACTTGAGAAAAATGTACTAAAATCTTAAGAAAAGTAAAAAGATTCAAGACTCAATTGATAATTTACATTTAATGCACAATTACTGACTGATTTTGCTGTATGACCATATTTCTACTGCGTTACTTACTTTTTGGTAATTTACATGGATTTCAAGCATGATTTACAATGTGTAAATTAATTTCTTTGTTTATTTCACAATATTTTGCTTCTAAATCTTTTTTCAAAACTTTAATGAAAATGGCAAAATCTGGAGGCATGCTGCATTAATGTGGAATCATATATAGTTATGGTTACCTTGTGTTTTGTTTCTCTCAAATTCCCCATATTATTGTTAAACTTAAAGTTCACTGTAAATGATGTTAATTACAATACAGATAACAAAGTAAAAAGAAAATTGTATCCATGTATGAAATATGAAATTAAACAATATGTCACCTTCAACATCAGTTCATACAAATTACCATATGCTGTCTACTAAAAACTCAGTATTGCTCTAAAACTAAAATTATAAAAGTGGGTGAATAAAAAAGCGACATTTATTTGAAGCAAAATTAATATTATGTACTCTGTATTATCATTCATTCCTACATTGTAGGGGTTACCATAAGCAATTTCATTATTATCTGTTAGATGCTGAGAGCTATATGCATTTATTTACCTTGGTCACCATTAAAGTGCAAGACCAACTTTTCATGCAAATTCTTTCATCATTGTTAAGGAAAATTTTAAGATATGTAGATTGTCGACTGGAAATCAAACAGTGCAGACCATGAACAGAAGGCAAGGATGTTCTGGCTGATTTTAGTCTGCACTAGGAGCATGTTATATTGTAATAGCATAGGCCTATTCAGTTGATGCCAGTAGACTTATTGTCAATTAGCAGCCCAAGTGTTTATGACTAAAATACTGTTAAACTAGGACTAAAGCAAATAAGGGAAAGAAGGTAATTCATTAGCATTGTCAGTTGGAACCTGGTTCGATGTTATCTCTCTTTCTCAAACTCAGATCTCAGGCATTTGATTGGTCAGAAATTGCCACAGAATGTATACTGGCCAATGAAAATCATGAAATTTGAGACAGAACCCTGAAAAAAGTTTTATAACCTCGAGGCCTGAATGTCAAATTAAATGTCCACAAAGTAATTTTTTTTAAAGACAATCTTAGTTCTATCTTTTTCTAATGAGATTACATTGCTAGCAAAATGTATAAATTACATGTAATTGATAAGCTTAATTAAAGCCAAGCAATAAACCTGAAACAAGCAAACTGATTTATTGATATATTGATGTTGAATCTGAGCATCAGTTAATACAGGTGTGTTAAAAAGAATTACTACAGTAAATTAGAAAAAGAAATAAAAAAAAGAGAGAGGTTTAATATGGTTATTGATTCCTTCATATCAGCATCTGTTTTAATATGAAGCCTGACTCAGTATACAATATGTTGTTTTATTATAATTGCACATATTTCTTTAAATTTGTCACATTTTGCTGTGCTCTTTAACTGAATCTTTGATGTAGGCAATGCATGATTCAAAAAGAAATAAGGTGTCTGCCTCCCAACCCAGGGATCATGGGTATGAGACCAATTCCGTCAAGACCATGTTTCTTCATATGACACCGGTACTGGTTGGTTCCAGGAAGCTGACTCTAAAGTTATTAATATAAGTTGCAAGAACTTGTTTCACAATCGAACTTAAAATAAATAGGTTTAAACTAAAAAGAAATAATTTTCAGCTCAAGAAAGTGTTATATGTGTTATGTAAGCAATAAGAGATGGCTGTATTAAGGTGACATTTTGTTAACTGAAGTCTACATGTATTTTAATATCTATAGGGAGAGCTATACTACTAACAGGGTCATTAGTGCAGCTGTCATTTCTACTGCCCACTTCTTTTACCAGAAAAAATCTGAGAGATTGCTTTGAAATTTAAAATTGTTTAAAATGACCCATCACCCTGTAAAATAGTTTATCACTATATATTAAATTTTAACCAAATTATGACTAAATTTTCCAACTTATTTTAGAGTTTATTGGGTTTTTTGTGCCACCACTGTTTCTAAAAAAAACCTTAGTAGGGAGTAGGAGGGTACTAGTGTAAATATTTAGTAATATTGGTTTTTGTGAACTGCATTTACAGGCTTGTTTATGATTCAAACTGAGGCTATCCAAGAATATATGACTATAAACATGGCTTACAATATGTTTATATTATAGTATTTATACAACTCTTTTATTTCAGATGACTAATCCTGTGATACAGAATGATTTTAGTTATTACAGACGGACAGAAAGCAGACGAAGAATGGTTACTAGTGTAAGTTGTATTATAGTTTTACAAAGCTGCTCACTTAAAATTCAATCAGCAACATTTAAACTCATTGAAACTAAACCTTATAGTAATACCCCTCAGTTGTTCATTTCTGAACTTGATTGTTCCAGATTTCAAGCAGGTAAAATCTATTTCTGCAAAACAATATTTTACTTGGGACCCTTATTTTTAGTGGTTTTTGTGGATAGGTCAATCCACAAATTTAAGGTATTAGCACCCTAATGCATTACCTCCGCGTTGAAGAGTATTCAAATAGGCTAGAACTACTGTTAACTACATTGAAAATGAGGGCCATGGGTTCAATCCCCAGAAGGGTCAACTTTTTTTTCTTTCTTTTTTTCTTTTAACATTATTTATGTATCTCTCATGTCCCATATGGAAAGAAAAAAGTGTTTAATTTTGATTTTTTAATTTATATAGGTAGTTATTGGCTAAATTATGCTAAATCTAGTAATAAATATGATACCTGATATTTTCAAAGTGTAATATAATCAAAACTAGACGGTAAAACTTAAAAAGTATTTCATACTTTACAAGATCAACCAATATACTTTTTTAAAAATTTAGGGAAACTTTGAAAACAGGCACTCATTTGGGTAAATTTTAAGATTTTTTTAAATTAGGCTCCCTAAGTAGAAAAATGGTCAGACACATGGTAAAAATGGGTGGGGTAGGGTAACATTTTTATACAGATTTCATAAATTTTATGTAGTAACCATAATTTTGCTTATGTGGATTGTTGGCTGAATGGTACTATTTGTTTCTTACCAAAAATTAATGGGAAAACATTTTTCATTAGAAAGTTATTGCAGATTATTTAAAGGTTCCTCATTTCTAAAAAAGGGCCCTCATAACATCATAGCTTGAGTTCAGAAAAGTGGCCATAACTTGATTTCCGTACGGTAAACTTTGTTTAAATTTTGCATACAGGTGTACTTTAAGGTAAACATCTGACCTATGATGTCAATTTTTCAGTTCCTTATAGTGCCCATTAGGGTCCTAATACCTTAAGATTAATTTGGTAAAATTATTTTTTACATTTTACCTTTTGGAAAATTAAACAGTCCACAAATTTGAGTACCTACAAAAAAATTTTTTGGGACAAAACCACGAAATTTCATGTCTACAAAATTAAGTGAATTCACAGTACATGTATATGAATTAAGCAGTACTTAGGTTATATATCTTTAGAACTACATGTATTTAACAAAGTTTCATGAATGTAAGAACAGATTTAAAAATTATCTTCATTTAGCTCATTGTCTATGAAAAGTATGAAGATATCCTAGTTCATATTTACTACCATTAGTAATGATGGGAACATGGTAAAATTTAACAGGGCTAGATATTAATGTTGGTCTTTTTGCCAGGGGCAACAAATACATGTATGTAGGGAGATATAGACCTAAGCTTCCTGCTGATAAATTTTATTCATTTTTTGTAGTAAAACATGTATAACACTGAGTTTCTTTCTAGACAGTGCTTTAAAAGAATGATTTAAAACATTTTTGTAATGTGCTTTTAAACAAGAATTGTCTGAAGATCATTTTCACATTCTAAATTTTATTGGAATGAAATTATTTCTGGTCAGGACAACTGTTCTTTCACAGTTTGGCTGTAAGCTTCTATCCCTCCCTCCTTTATTACAGAGTGCAACAATATATGTTCATTTATGATATTATTTTCACTGTATTTGTTGTTGTAGGATTCCTCAGAAAATAATGAGAAAGTTCCACATGAAATAGCCAACAGAATGTCATTGTTTTACGCACACTCAACTCCCATGTTAAAGATGCTCAGTGATACAACTTGCACCTTTGTTTCACAGGTATTTCATATTTATCTCACATTTATTTCGTTGTAAAATTTGGTATACATGTATGTATGCTATTATAACTAGAGTCTGCTCATTCTACAGGATACATTTAGCAAGGTAATTGGGAATAATGGAAACATACAAAATTTATATTGTACAAAAGTGTATGAGTTGATTGTATTCCAGTTACATTGTATATACATGTATCATTTAGATGAACTGCACAGTATGTGCAAGTTGCCAGATGTTGCATTATGTGCATTATATATTTAACAATATATATATACAATGTATATAGATTTATATATCTTTTATATAATTGATAAATCAATGATTTATCACACAGATAAATTGCCACATAGATGTTAAATATTTATTGATTGTGATATAAAAATCATAATTTACAATAAATAATTCCAATATAAAAAAAAATAACACTGCAAAAATTTATTTTTATGCCCCCGCCATGTAATGGCCGGGGCATATAGTGTTACCCTGTTCCGTCCTTCCGTCATTCCGTCCTTCCGTCCTTCCGTCATTCTGTCATTCCGTCATCATCAGTTTCCGTTCATTATCTAAGTAACGGTTGCACACATTCAACTCAAATTTGACATATGGATATGTCATGAGAAAATACAGGTCAAGTTCGAATTTGGTCATGGTTCGATGATTTTTGGCAGAGTTATGCCCCTTTTACTTTAAAATAATATGAAATTTTCAGTTTCCGTTCATTATCTCCCCAACGATACAACACATTCAACTCAAACTTGACATATGGATATGTCATGAGAAAATACAGGTCAAGTTCGAATTTGGTCATGGTTCGATGATTTTTGGCAGAGTTATGCCCCTTTTACTTTGAAAATAATATGAAATTTTCAGTTTCCGTTCATTATCTCCCCAAAGGTACAACACATTCAACTCAAATTTGACATATGGATATGTCTTGAGAAAATACAGGTCAAGTTCGAATTTGGTCATGGTCGATGATTTTTGGCAGAGTTATGCCCCTTTCACTTTGAAAATAATATGAAATTTTCAGTTTCCATTCATTATCTCCCCAACGGTACAACACATTCAACTCAAACTTGACATATGGATACATCAAAGGAATGCGCAGGTCAAGTTTAAATTTGGTCGTGGTTCAATAATTTTTGGCAGAGTTATGCCCCTTTCACTTTGAAAATAATATGAAATTTTCAGTTTCTATTTATTATCACCCAAACAGTACAACACATTCAACTCAAATTAAACATATGGATACGTTTTTGGAATGCCCAGGCCAAGTTCGAAATTGGTCATGGTTCAATAATTTTTGGCAGAGTTATGTCCCTTTCACTTTGAAAATAATATAGATACATCTTAGGAATAAGCAGTTTAAGTTTGAATTTGGTCGTGGTTCAATGATTTTGGACAAACTTATCTTTCTTGAATGTTGGAAAAATTTTGAACTTTCAGTTTCAGCACTCATACTTTTGTGGAAAGTTTGAATTTGGTCGTGGTTCAATGATTTTGGACAAACTTATCTTTCTTGAATGTTGGAAAAATTTTGAACTTTCAGTTTCAGCACTCATACTTTTGTGGAAATGTATGTAGCCATTATTTTGGCTACAAGTATGAAATATGCTATTTTCAAAAGGTTAAGACTAAATAATTTCAGTGCTTTGAACATTGTATGAAAATGGTTTGTGTTAACATTGAAAAGTTTTAAGGGCTTTGAACTGCAAATGAAAAAAATAATTTGTGCAAACAAATTTGGAACTAAATATTATAACATCTGAAATTTTGGCTGCATGCGGGGGCATCCGTGGCATGATGACACATTTCTAGTTTCACTATAATTACTTTGATACTTTAGTTACTCTACAGGTTAATATTGTTACAATGGTGTAATTGTTGTATTATCAGGTACTGGATTGTCAGACTTTTCTTGCTGATTGACACTTGCATCATAATATGATTATTGTATAGGATTTTGATATGTGTAGTTGTTGTTAATTTGTCAAAATCTATGAATGAATACTAAACTAAAAAACTTAGTAACATTTAATAATACTGATAAATTATGTCTAAAGTGCTGCCAGTTGTTAGTTGCTTTTGTGTGTTATGAATTTGTTTTCAACATGTTTTTTGATAACATTTTTATTCATTTTCAGAACAAAAATCTTCCAGTAGAAAACACAACAGACTGTTTATGTACAATGGCAAATATTTGTAGAGTGATGATTGAAAACCCGTATGTATTGAAAACCTTTTTATTATTGTTGAAAATAGCTACATAATACTACTGCCTCATGTTGGTTGTTGTAAAAATGATAATTCTTACAACATAACTAGAAATATAAGTTATTTAACTGTGTTGTTTAGATATTTTAAGGTTCATTCCTGGCAAAGAAAACTTTTTCTTAACTCTTTATATTGCTAGTGGCAATATAGACTTGTCAGTGCAGTTGGTATAGAGTAACATCAGCCTGACTTCCCTTGCTGTTTTACCGCCATGTTTCCTATTGGCGGCATTATTATAACAAAATCCCTTATATTAACAATGGTCAGTCTAAGCAGGGCTAGTTAGTTTTACAACTTGAGCCAGGTAAATGTTGATGAGAGATGTTAATACATGCTTACTTTGTAACTTTGTTACTGGAAGATATAGTTATATCCTAACATATCCTTGTATTAATATCAGTTGTTCTACTCAGAAGCCTGCTTGTTTCTGAAATAAAGAACAAAGAGGCATATTTGGTCTTCTTCCTCTTGTATTGGCGTTATGACTTGCACATGTGATTTACAATTTAAAATTAAAAAAAAAGTAACCTAGTTTGATAAATTTGAAAATATGAAATCTTTTATAACAGAATTTACATTGGTATGAAACATTTCACTATATTACAGAGAGTATTGTTCAAGAATACAGAATGTTGATACGAAGCTATTTTGTTTACGTGTAATGGTAGGAGTGATTATATTAAACGACCATGTACATCCTGTCGGAGCATTTGCTAAGAATTCTGGGATAGATGTAAGTCTAAAAATACGTAAATGTGCGTCGGGTATTGTACTGACCTGCATATATGAAATGAGACATCTTATTTAATATTTATCTTATTTATTTTATTTATAAGATAATTCATATATCTGATTCATTCATATGATTTCATGATATAGTATGATTTCATTTTTTTTCTGCTTTTGAGATGGAATACAGTTTATAACTAGATATAAACAAATTATGACAGTAACATTACATATTGATAAGATAATGTGCAATTTCTATATGTTTTAAAAATTCATTAATTTTCCGTTTTTGTCCTATTTCTCATTATATCATATATCATAGCCATGTTCTATTCAGATAATTAAGTGTAGTAACTACGCTTTAATAAGAGTGTTATTTAGTTTAAAAAAAAAAAAAAAAAAACCTTTAGGCTGGCAATCAAATGTGCCTGCCAAAAATTATTTATTGCATGCAAAAATAACATTGCCTCTTGTTTTTTTTTCTGATATGCAAAAGGAACAATTATGAAGATACAGAATTTTAGAATATTGAGATTTTATACATGCATGTTTATAACTACATTGCTGATCATCTACATACCTGATTTTATCTATATCATACATTTGATTAAATAAAATGTCCACAGTTTATTAATTTATGATAAAAATCACAAACCAACAAAGTTTATCAGAACATGTTTCACATTATAGGTGGCGCGATAGCTCAGTTGGTTAAACCACTGATTATCACTCCTTAGGTCCCGAGTTTGATCCTGGATTACACCCTTGGGATTTTTCAGAGACACTTTCAGTGTTTCCCACCTACCTAGAGGTGTACTGGTAAGAAATCCAGGTAATCCCCGCATGAATCGGTGCTATACACTGGGCATATAAAAGAACCAAGGGGTCAATTCAATAAGAGCTAGGGACTGGTTCCTGGATTCCATTGTATCTCATAGCTGTCTCTTTAATGTATACCTGCTTAGAGTGATCGTAAACGATTTTAAAGCAGTATGATGTAGAAGTTGATAAAAATATTCACTATTTAATATTTAAATATTTGATATTTAAAGATTTTTTTACAGTTTATTATATAATTTACTTTTTTGGTATCATGATTTTGTAAATTACACAATTATACAAACTGATTGTTACAGTTAGTAAATGAAAAGGAGAAAATTGTCAATATTGTTAATTTTTTAATGAAATATTATAAAGCATGATTTTCTGTAATTGCAGATAAAAAGCTCAATTAAACTATTACATGAGCAACGAGACATGAATGTAGAGGGATTGCTGAATGCTCTAAGGTTTATATTTTTGTTATTTATTTTGATATTAAGATGTTTTTTCTGTTCATTTAGTCTAGTTCAGTAAATTGTTTGATAAATCATTCTTTTTGAGAGCATGGCACTGAGGTATTAAAGTACATTGTATTTAGATTTAAACTAAGTATTGTTGTCAGCTGAACTATTACATTTTGGTCCTGTTGGACTTGATTAAACATAGTATTGCTTTTGAAACATACTGAGTTTGTTTAATAAGACATTTCATAAGTCACATGATGAGATATTGACTTGGACTTGAACCTGGGACCCTCACAAAACTTTTGAATACCTCAAACAACTGAGCCAATCTGTCGCTAACTCTTGTTCTTCCTTTATATAAGTGTTGTATCAGGAAAGATTTAGAATTTTGCTATTTTTGATAATTTCAGATGCCAGTGTGTTTAATTTATTTTTATTACATGCTTTTCGGTGGTTTATAGAAATATATCAGTGATATAAAACTTTGATAATTTCACTGTTTTGAATTTAAGCCCCTTATGTTGTTTCAGTGAAATACTAGCGTGCACAGAACTGGGTACCAACTTAATGACGTGACGTCGTAAATGACGTCGCATTGTATTATTAATTGGCGCGCTTATCATTCAGTATTAGGTTAAATGTCTTTTTAAAACGTTTCTTTGCATATAATAAAAAGAAAATTTGTTTAGTTTAGTGTAAGATCGAAATATATTTCACCTTGTGAACACCAAAAGTTCATATTTCACTCGTGGCTGCGCCACTCGTAAAATATACCTTTTGGTGCACACTCGGTGAAATATATTCCGATCTTACACTGAACTAAACAAATATCCTCTATATATCCTTCTGATGAAACTTAGTATTTATAGTAAAAGAAAAGGTTTTGAGAAGCAAGGTTCAGCAAAGTAAAATACTATAGCAAAATTTGAAATTTCAAGTAAGGAATAAAGTTTTATTTTTTTATTGGGTTCGATAAAAAAAAAAAGATTATGTCATGCTAAAACCTTCCATATAAATTTTACTTTATCACTATTATAACACAATTAAAATATTTCTATTTTTAGATATACTACGAAACATCTACATGATGAAAGTACGCCAAAAAGTGTTCGGCAGTTACTACTTGACTAAAGAATGTAAAGCTATATGTTTTAACAATTGTACCAAATATTCATCTCTTTGATATACATTGTTCAACATTTCTATGAGATAACTGCTTTAAGCCTCTACCTGCTGAACTTGTTTAAATGGACTTGTCCAGTTTCCATTTTTTGAAACTGTTCATTATCAATATAGGGATATGGAAATTAATGTGAAACAACCAACTGTATAGCGCCTGGCCAGACTGCTTTGTGCCGGCTGGTCTGGCTCTATACTGGTGGCAAAGGCTGATCACTTTGGGTTCTAGCAGGTTCAGGGGTTTAAATACAATAGTTCTTCCATGTGCAACTTTTATCTCAACACTGGGAATATTCTTCTTATTAATTAGAAGAAAACAACTATCTACAAACTTGAAATTAGTGCATTATTAAATATGTACAACAATAACTTTTATATGCTTTGTTACTACAAACGATAGTGGAGAAAAAATGACATCTGTTAACTAAGTAAACCAAACATAATATGTTTATACATAATACATTCTGCTTTTATATAGGCCTATCCATAACTTTGAGAGTCTAACTCTTTGAGAGTTTATAACACTGTAGAGAATGTAGTATTGATACCTATAAACTTAAAATATTTTAAGGTATAGTAAATATTGATACATAAATTTATTTTAAGGTATCCGAAAATGGATGAAAAAAAAATGCTGTACAAAATTTTCATAGTGTTAGATTTTACTCTTGTATTTTTGAGCCATCTTTGTTATTGTTAAAGCTCGATGTCTGCCTAGTAATGTGGGTGTTGCTGTTTTTTTTTTGTCTTGAATACGTGGTGTTCATTGAGTTATTTGACTATCAAGCCATTTACAATCTCATCATTCCAGGGTATGTCTAATTGTAGGAGCAGGAAAGGCTACTATTTCTCTAGTATATATTCTTACAGCATATGACACTGCATAGGTTACCTATTTTATATTGCTTAAACAGAATATGGTATAATGTACTTTTTCTAGAGAATTTGACTGTTTCTTTTTTAGTTTTTTCTTCCAACAGGATATCATATGTTTCTGTGTGTACAAGATACAATTCTGTTTTTACAGCATTTGATAACTACATTGTAGTTCTTTAGGTTACGATAACTGTTTCTTCACGATATGATAACTCTTTGTACAGGCTAGGATTACTGTTTCTTTAGGATATGGTAATTGTTTTTCAGGATATGATAATTCTATCTACAAGATATGATATTTATCACTATACAATATGTCTATATTGAATTATACTGTTTTAGAAGCATGTTTCTATAGGAACTGTCCTGTTTCTATAAGATAGGATACAATTTCTTTTGAATATAAATATAAAATTTAGCATCTTTTTTTAGTTTGTCTAAACATATTGCATGTTTTTTACTGCATGCATTACTTTTTTTGAGAGTTTGTTTTTAAAAATGTGATGCTATTTCAATTTTTGTGTGGACAAAGAAATATCACTGCTAGAGTTCAGATAGATACAATGTTTTTCATCTCAAAATTTATGTTTCCCACCATTTAATTCCTAAAACTATTGGTCTCATGTGGTTGTTTTTTTCCATACTGAAAGGTATTTGTTTACCATATTTTTAATGAAATTACATTAACTACTAATTTTCTGACAAGATATTTGCTAATCTACATGTACTAATTGTAGAGTTTTAGAATGCTCAATTTTCAATATCACATTTATATTGTTGTTGGCAAACAGCAAGTTCCATAAAGTCTAAAACACTAGACATGAGTTTGTATAGATAAACAGTTATTTTAAGTTTGCTAAATGCCTCATTTTCAAGAATATACTGATTTCACTTAATCTCTTAATTTATTAAATCTGTTCAAAAGATTAAGTCACCTCATGTGTCCGAATTTTGCAGATTGAAACATTTATCATTGTATTTGTAATTTTATTCTGATGTATCTTTAAGCCATCAATTTTCACAATAAGTGCTACTTTCTTCAGTATATTAACTTTTTGAGTATGGAATAAGAAGAATACATTCTATCTTTAATGAATAAGTTGGCATTAATAATACTTCTACATTTCTTACTTGAAAGTTAGAGAGACATTAGGGGACATAACTCTGATATTTTTTCATCTATTGAAGATTTTGCCCTGTGATGTTAACCAACAATATGATAGCGTATTTATCACTATAAATTGTCATTGCCAGTAAGTAAAACGAATCACTATGGTGCTTATATAAACTATCAGTTGATTGAATCACAAAATCTGCAATTTACAATCACCAAGGTGCTTGATTATAATATGTATTCATAGATAAATGATTAGATTTGTTTTCCTATCAGATAATAATATTGTATAAATGTATATTTGACCTTAACTTTGATGTTCAGATAATGTTGCAATGTCTTTTCCTCCATAACTGGTTTAGAAATAATGTTGAATATGTATAAGGTAAATCCACTGGTGTTTTTCAACCATTTACCTACTGATTTTTTTGCAACAGAATTGTCCTACTTGGAATTTGGAACAGTCCCATTTAAGTAAAGAGAATTTTAAAATTCAGCTACCAACAGTACAAAACCTGTCAGATTGCATGTAAATACAGGTTGGCCTGACTACTGGTGACAAAAACTTATATCTATTGGTTAAAGCAGGTTAATGGTTAAGATGGTAGATAAAAATTGACCAATAATATGACAGCTTACTTGGCTGGATAAACAATAGACTGTAGGAGGGTTAGAGAGAAATGAGTGGATTTTTATTTAATTTTTTTTGTTTGTTTGTTTTTGGCCTAAATCATAAGACAAGTAAGACTTGATATCCTGAATAAGAATTACATATGCGCAGGCTGGTCTGGTTCCATGCTGGTTGCAAACCCATTATGTTCATTTTGTCATGGCGCGGCTCATATGCGAAATAAGAATAACATAATCATCAGCAAGTTTGCTTTTATTTTTCATAATCATTTGTTTTCAATCTGAATTATATTAAATGAAAGAGCTAATGTAGTTTTGTATAGATGAATTAATAGAATGAAAATGCATTCCATTTTCTATAGTAAAGACCGTGCATAATTTACATTTCTTGGTATAGTTTCTATTGTAAATTTGTTATGTCTAGTTTTAAATTAGCAATATATGGAGTATAAGTAGGCTTTTAAAAGAAATATGCTTGTTCTAGATTAATGTTAATTCCTGTATGACACATGTAGTTAAATATTGTTAATTAGACAGATTATATCACGGTTAAAATTATATTATGTCAGAATGAAATCATTTATTATCACTGTTAATTTGTTGGAATCCTATCAGTAATAATGAATTCTGTCATGTGAGAGAGCTTTCCAGCTAGCTCCTTGAAGTTGTCTGGTTTTACCTGGCAGTATATGCTTGTGTCTCCAATCCAATGAGAGGAACTTCCACCAGTTTACTAGATAGTTGCCAAATAACACAAAAAGTGTTGCTGTGTCCATTAAATATAACTAAAACTGTAAAGTAAAATTTAAATATTTGACTGCCATGGATGGGCCTAACTTCATCTAAACTATGATTCAGCTTTGATGTGTGTATATGGTATTTTTAATATCCACCAGGCATTGTTTATAACTGTTAGATCTGAATAAGCATGAATACAGTGTAATTATATCTTAATAATGCAGGGTTTTAGTGCCATACCTATAATGTTAAAATGTGATGAATTCTGTAATGTGTCAAAAGTGCTCCGTATTATGTGGTGTTATAAGGAGAAATTTCTTTTAGTATTTTGTTAAGCTTTGAGATGTAGGAAACAGTTAAAATTGAAAATATTTTCATATATGTAGTGATTGTTATTTTAATTTTATGATGAAAATATAGAAGGGTCAAGGGTCAGGTTGATAAGAATCTGGTGAAAACCGGGGACAAAAGTCGGATTGATGAAAATTTATAATATGCAGGAGTTTAAGAGTCAGGATTGATAAAAGTTTACAGTAAGCAGGGGACAAGGGTCAGGTGCCTTGAGATTTTACTGCTAAAAGACATCTTTTTTTGTTTCGTTTATAAAACTGCTGCACACAAAAAATGGCCTGCTTTTATTTTGCTGTACAGAATGGCCTTGTAGTTTTTTTTTATTATATAAGCATTTACTAGAGTAACACTGAAATTGTAATTAACGATTTTATGGGTTTCATCTATTTTTGGTCATAAATATTATAAGCACAATGAATAAAATCATTGCTGATGTTGTCTTCACAGGTATTAAAAGAATTAATGAACTGTGCAACATCGTGTACAGATCAACTCCTTTATTAAACCTTCAGAATCGATCATTTTTTGTTTTTATAAACGCCACATCTACTATCAGATTTGTAAGAGATTTATATCTGTTATTAGCTCTTAGGGAAATGTTTACATTATAACATTTCTCTAAGATTGATTGTTTACCATGTTTTTTGTATTCTTGTTTTTTTTCCACTAGAATTTTAGACACTTGTTTTTGTATATAATCTTTGTTGATTTTATAGAATGGCAAGCTATTTCCAATATGTTGCATGTTTTGTTAAGTTTCCTCTTATTCTCAAGTTTGTTTCCTTATAAGATTTTATGAACAAGTGCAGCAGGCCACTGTTTGAAACATGTAGTGTTGAATGTATGTATTCTAAAATATTATTCCTGATTTTTTGGCGACTACATCACTTTTTTGTTTTAATTTTTTGCTCACAAAACTATCAGTGATAAGATTAAAATATTGTTATTTGAATCATGTTGTTTATTATTTCATTATTGAGATATTAAAATGGCATTGTTAATGAAATGCGCTATTTTTTTCTTGAGATTTGAACCAGCTTGTTTACTTGTTTACATATTTACTTTTTAAAGAATTAGCCCATACCATGCTAAACTCCCTTATTGGATTTGTCTTGGTTTGGTTTTAAATGATCATTGTTAATGGACGGGGGGGGGGGGTAAAATAAAACACACATACATTAAGTAGCCAATGGAATGGAGCCTGGTCAAACTAAAGCAGACTGACCTTCGTCTATGCTATGGGCCAAAATAAATCATAGTTGCTACTGCCTAGTAAAGTAATAGGTTTAGTTTAGTAATATTTCATTGCAACTATTTTATTCATAAAACATGTAATGTTGAAAACAAATATAAACAAAGAGATATGGTGCCAATGGGTGGGCTACAAGTTATAACTACAGTAGAACTTCGGTAAGTCGAAGTTGGAGGGACTTGCGTAAAAACTTCGACACATCGGGACTTCGACTCATGAATCGGTCTGAATTTCATGACAAAATTTCAACCCGTGACTAGCCCTAATTATAAGATCTATAACCGTTACGTAACCTATTTCATGTTTTTCTTTCATTCATTAATCTGATATTTTACATTATAGAATGATAAATATTACTGTTAATTAACTTTTTACAGGTAATGATTTTGACTACCTTTTGACGTAAACAATGAAGTTACAAAAGGCGTAACGATATGAAAGGGCAATAACTAAACCAGCTTATAGTAAATATTTCGCGTGTGATTATCACGCGACACCGGGTCACAGAAGCACTCAAATGATAGTTCTTACTGTTTGCATATACTTTCAAATACCACTACGGGAATTAAAATAGTAACGATTTAAGCATTTTTTCACACATTTAAACGCATACAAAGGCTGTTTGAACACTTGGCTGTGTAATTAACACCTGTCACTAAAGTTGATCGGAAATCGTCATCGCGGCCAGAAAAGGTGTGAAAAATGTCTCGAGATCGAAGGTGTCAAAATAATCGAAGGACTTCGACTTATTTGTGGTAAATTGTACTAGATTTATTCTATACGGACCACGAAAAAACTTCGACACATCGAAAAATTCGACACATAAAATCTCGACTCATAAATAGGTTTTTATAAGGAATATATAAGGGAAAAAATGGGGACTTTCATTTTACTTCGACACATAGAGAAAATCGACTAATCGAAGTTCGACTCATAGAAGTTCTACTGTACATTATAACATTAGCAACAGCCCTACCCACAATGTCAATGTTATATACATCATATTTATTCTCTCACTTTTCAAGCATTGAATTAGATTAATTGAACAAAAATGTAATGGGTTAATGTGATAATATTGTAATTCAAGAACAAATTGTAAGTTACAGTACAAATACTGTTGAAAATACTTTGTTTGCATTTGTACAATTATCTAGATCTGTTTATGTTATATTGTATTATTCTTCATAGAGTTATACACAGTATCCAATTATGTTAGTTTCTTTCAAGAACAAGTAAGTTTTTTATTTTTTTTATATCTATTAACTTTGGCTCAATTATTTATTCATAGATTTTATGTTCCATGTTAGAACATTCCAGAGTTATTTATTCAAATGATTAATATATTCTTTGGTATATAAAACAGAGTTTGATTGGTCATCAAGTTTTACGCATGTGAGGAATTAAAAAAAAATTGTAAACCAGTCTCTGAAACCTCTGTTTCTCATTGGCTGCATTTTAGCACAGTATTAATATTGGCCAATGAGAATCCGATATTTTTTTGACTGGTTTACATGTGGAATTTTATTACCTCAACTCATAGAATGTACAAATGTTGTATATATACATATATCTATTGTTTCGTTGCCATAGTAATGATGGATTGTTTCACCATCTTACATTGAAATATTCTAAATGAAAATTAAAGTACATGTACCAAGATGCCACTTAGGTTGTTAATTTAACAAAAACAATATTATTGTACCAAAACAAGTTTAAAAACTTTTAAGTGAAAATTAAAATTATCAATTTGAGAAAAATGTCAATGTGCTTCATGTATTTAGGAAAGCAGATATGAAGTGTAAAAAACTAGAAAAAAAATGTGACACAAAATAAGATTTTTGTTTTATTTCTCAATGACTTATTTAACTTACAATATTATGAACATTATGTTTTAATTAAAAAACATAATTTGCTGATAGTCTGAGCATCATTTTATAATATTAAAAATTATTTATACTTTCACTAATCATTACCAATTATTGTTGCATAACTCTTGCATGTTACCTTTTATTCACAACACAAGTGTGGTATCTTTTCAATGTACAGGTAGCAGACTGCTAAATATTTCTTTATTTCCTGTTTGCCAGAGTATGTTTGTCTGTCTGTCTGTCTGTGTGTCTGTCTTGTTCAACAAAGCTATTGCTTCATATATGTGTTCCATAACATTAATATAAGGAATCAGGATTTTGTATGAAAATGAAATAAAAAAAAATGTAATAGAATTTGTAATAAATTGATAAAATCATAATTGTGTTTTGTTGTATTCCATGTTGTCAAAATTATGTTAGTTTTGTCTCTTCAAACACATTCTCCATGTGTCGGGTTTAAGGTATGTCAGTCAGGTATGTCAGTTTATAGAGATTCAGATCAGTATGAAGTAGATTGAAGGTGAAGCTGGCCTGGCTAGATTAGTCATTATCATCACAAACTGACAGTAGGACGTAATCTGTTGGAACATTAGTCCAAACTACTAAAAAATAGATAAGGGGTCATCTAACTGTAAACAGAACAAATGAGAACAACAGAGTTTATTTTATATAGACTACAGGGCCAATGGTCCTATAAAACAAAAGAAAATAACCAAAGAAATGGCCCCTTATCCCATTTTGGTTGCACATCCAATCAGTATTTGTCAATCAGACAATTAGTCCAGGGCATTACCTCAAAAAAGAACTTCACAGATGGATATAGGAAAATTAAGGAGACCTGCAATGTATATGAACCATAACACTTAGTTAGTCTGGGACATATTTTGAGAAGTAATTGAGCGGTATCAGATTTATATATCACATCTGGATTTATTATAAAAAGAGAAGCACGCTGTTTTAGGACCACAACTCTCTTATATTGGTCTAATAGTTATTGCCCTTTATTCTTCACATAAAATTTTTGTCTAGAGCAAAATTGTATAAGCGATATCAAATTGAAGCAACATATCTCTGTCCAAGAACTATTATTCTTGTTTTAAAATCTTCAGAGTTATTGCCCTTTTCATATTCTTTTTTATTTTTAATTTTTCATATTCAGTTATTGTATAGGAGTGTACCTTTATTAATTTACTCATGTTCTTCACATGAATGACCAAACAACACAGCAACAAAGTCAAAGTAATATTTTAATGTTGTTACATCACTAAAGGATGTCCTAATGCTTCTCACTGCTAATTTTGGGGGTTTTGTAAGAGCTGAGGTACATAATACTTACTGGATAGGATACTATGCTACGGAAAGTAATGAACAACATGTGTCCGGTTTATACCTCTATTAAACAAGAGCAAGGTTTGAACCGGGTGATGCTCCCCGAATAGGTTTTTGACGTGTAGGAAAGTACACTTCTTGTAGTTTCAGAGTTATGTCCCCAGACAAAGTGCAATAATTCCAGAATAAGGCAAGGCAGAGTAACTGTTCTTTGCAATGGACCTCTAATGGATGAGATCTATCTACCTACAAAGTTTCTT